CTCCTGACCCACCCGCTGCTCCCCTTAGCAGTGTACTTCGTTGATCTGCCTGTTCTGCTCCCCGCTCTGTCTCTGGTGAGGCCTCTCGCCGCCCCTGGGCCTCTGGCCTGTACCCCAGTTATGTATGCACAAATAAATAAATCTTAAAAAAAAAAAAAAAAGATACAGTACTCTGTAGAAAAAAAAAATCAGCCCAAGTCTTACAATCCAGCAGTAACTGTTTTTTTTTTTTATTGAAATAACCTTGTTTTATATCATTACATAGATTTCAGGTGTGCATCATTATAATGGGATTTCTTTTATTTATATTTTGGTGGAATAAAATGGAACTTAAAACATCTTTTCCAGATGAGACTGAACATCTGGAAAACATCTTTTTCAGAGACAGAAAATAGGATCAGATTTAAATAATGCTGAGGGCAGGTAAACTGAGTTAGGGCCGTCTATCCTGTGGGCAGCTCTTTGAGACAATTGTGAGGTCACAACGTTTCTATTCCTGAGCATCTTTACAACTGCAAATATATAGGTGAAACCTTGCCTCAGTCTTTCCCAATTCTGCCTGGGCAAGTTCCAAATACTCTATAGGGCTCATTCACGGTAAATTAGTCCTCAGAGACTTTTTCCAATTAAGTAAATATTGAGTAAAACCATTCAACAGACACCATGTGCAAGACTGTGCCAGATGTGTGCCAGTGGTGTGACAGACACAGACATGAAACTAAAAATTATACAAAGAAATGAAATATGTGAGGGATCAGGAGAGGTACAAATTTTGATTATCTGCTACGTGGCAAGTTTAACAAGTATGATTTCAATCATCTGGGACCTAGGGGAGGTAATGTGACCTTTCTGAACCTCAACTTCATTTGAAAATGAGGCCTAAGTTACTGACAGATAACATTCATTAGAGTGGTAAACTTTGTTCCAGGGGCTGGTTACTGAAATGAGACACTTTTTACACTTCAGACCATTCTCAGGGGCAGAGAGCTGATCTATAGTGTCTGCTGTGTGCAAGTTGCTGTACAAAGATGCTGTTTAATACCAGCCCCCCTCTTTGAGTTTGCTATGTACCCTGTTGCTCAAATGATGACACTGAGTCAAAGAAAGTTTGCATAATTTGACTAAAGCCACCCAGCTGGAGTAAGACTGCAAGATTCAAACCCCACCCTGCTGAAGTCCAAAGCCAATAGCAGCACCTAATTTCACAGTGAGGTTTAGAGAGTGTATGTGTCCTTGTGGGAATGACTTGGTGTCTGCTGGTGGTGTATGTGTGCTTTGCTTTTAACTGTAGTTTGAAAATAGTGACTCATTCCCAGACAGGGCCAGGTTGAATATCAGTTCTGTTTCTCTTACAGCACTCTGTGGCACCTGTGTTCACTTCAAAGCTGTTTTGTAGTAAATGCACTGTGACAGAAACAGAAAAATATATACCAAAAAATGTGTAGGTTTTTTTGTTGTTGTTGTTGTTTCTGAGAAGAAACTCATGTCACTAACTTAAAAAAAAAATCACAGATAAGTTAATGACTAAACCCAATTTTACATTCCTGAACCTATCCCTTTTTTTTTTATTACAAAAGTTCATTTTTACATCATTTTGTACATTTTTTTTCCCATCTCAATTGTAATCCCCGCGGGTTTCCCATCACCAAGTCACCCATGTGCCATCACCATAATCCCGAGCATTTCCCTCCCCCCACCCCGTTTTTGATCCCAATCCCCACTCCACCCCCACAAAATGTCTCTGGTATATGGTTGTTCATTATATTTGTTATTTTCCACCTGGTCCATTATACTCCTGCTATGAGTGAAACCATCCGGTATTTTTCTTTCTCTTTCTGGCTTATCTCACTAAGCATGATCTTTTCCAGTTCCATCCAAGTTGCTGCAAAAGACATATGTTTCTCTTTTTTGGTTGCTGAGTAATATTCCATTGTATATATGTACCACATCTTCTTTATCCAGTCATCTACTTTTGGGCATTTGGGCTGCTTCCATGTTTTTCCAATTGTAAATAAAGCAGCACTAAAACATGGGGGTACAAGTATCTTTTTCAATCAGTGTTTTTGTGTCTTTTGGGTAGATACCTAGAACCTATCCCTTTTTTACTTTTTAAAATTTTAATCCCTTTTCACATTTGAGGTTGTCATTAGTTTGTTTGATTCTACAAAGGGAGAGACCCTGAAATAGTCACATCTGGATTCCTCCAGGGCTCGACCCACTGTGAGAGCCAGTCAGAAATGACTGAAAATAAAGGCTTCTCCACAGTGCGTGTGTTAACTTCTTTTTCTATCGAAAGAGTTATCACAGATTTAAAGGCTTAAAATATCCATTATAGCTATTACTTTCTGTGGGCCCGCAGTCTGGACAATGTGGCTCAATTGGTTCTCTGCTCTAAGTTTGTAAGAAGAAAAAGTATTGGCAGGACTACTTTCTTTTCTACTCATTCTAGAAGGGGGAAGAAACTACTTCCAAGCTTGCCCAGGTTGCCAAATCAGTTCCATGAGAATGTAGGACTAAGGTGCCGATAACTTGCTGGCAGGGCTTGTTCTGGCTCTGGAAACTGTCTACAACCGCTGACTTACCGTTCCCTTCAAACTTAGTAACTATGGGTCGAACTACTCTCAAGATTTGAATTTGATACTCATCTTGTCTCTTTGAAGCATCTCCTTGCCCTCCTCTGCTGTTTTTAAGGGTCCACCCAGGAAATCCAGGATGATTTCCTTAAAGGTCTTAATTCCATTTTACAAATTCTGGGGACCAAGGGTGTGGATAGCTTTGGTGGAGATGGTGGGGGAGATACTATTTTGCCTACTATATTGCCTGTACTAAACATGTAAATTTTAGAATGAATCTCTAGTTAAGGAGCTCATAGGGAGTTGAAGCTACTCTGGGAAACATTTGAAATGACTTATCAGAGGTTACTGCATCAGCTGTAGATTTTGAAAAAGAAACCTTTCTAAAAATCAGGTGAGCTTTTTTTTTTTTTTTTTAATTTTGGTGTTCTTTTCCACACTTGGAGTGAAGGTGCACATTTCACCTTTTACAGTCTGTTCACTTTGCATGATTTTATTTAATGGATGTCAAAATCTTCTATGTGATGAGCATTAGAAAGAACAACAATGAAGTGTTAGATGTTGGGCAGTATAATAGGGTTTTCTCTCAGTTCTGGATTGCCTATGCCCACCTTGGTGGGCTGGGGGGGAAGCTATGTTTCCTCACCAAGACACACCTTAAATGTCATTGACCCCGTCTCCCTAAGTTTTAAGAGCTGGCCACTAGTTTTGTTCTGATTCTAGGTATGTTTCTGGATATTGATTCAATAGGCACAAAAAAACTCCATGTTGGGTACTACGAATCTCATTTCTTTGCTACCAAGTCTGCAGGGTTAGTACAACGCCCATGGTCGCTCAGCTGGCACCAATTACTAAGCACCTGTTCTGTCAACAACCGAATTATATGGGCCTCATTGTCCATGTTCCTTCTTCACGTGCTCTTCCAACCTGCCAGGTTTTTGTGCTAATTTTAATCAGAATAATGCTGTGGGGTATAAATGTAGATTAGAAAATTGAGGCTAGAGAGGTTGAGGCTCAGAGAGGTTGAATCCCTAGCTTTAGGCCCAAGAGCAGGGATGCTTTAGCCAAGGCGCCAGCCTAAATAAAGTCTAACTCAAGATCCTGTGTTCTCTCCAGGTTACTGCCTCTGAAAAAGGGCCTCAGGCGCATTCTGTTATAACCCCAAAGTCCAAGTTCTTCAGGCTACCGTTAGCAAGAAGTTCACTAAGTGGTAAAGGAGCTCTAAACTGGAGGTGGGAGGGGGGTGGGGGGGGAGGAAGGAGGGCAACTTCTGCAAATACATGGCGGAATGTGGCGGTATGAAAGCACAGAAGGAAATGGGGAACTGTGTAGGTTCACCAATCAGTGGAATAACCGAATTACTGGTATGAATGTCTTTTTGTCTCATTATTATTCGGCAGTGAGTCATTTAAGGGAGGACCGAAAGGGAAAGTCCTGCTTCTGTTACCTAGGAAAAGTGTAGGTGAGAATTGCTGAGACCGGGAGAAGCATGCAGTGGGCGCTGGCAGCCGAGTACCAATTCTCACTCTAT